TGAACCAACTATCTAACCTGGAGATATGAGAAGCTGAGAGGGCAAGTAAAAGGTCTGAGCCTGTGATAAATGAACATAGACTCCTCTGAATCATCCCACAGCAAGGGAGACAGTCTTTCACTGTAACAGGACATTTCACTGTCTGGGATTACTGAAGCCGAGTGGCTCTGAATAACCTGTGATGCGATGTTGAAAATATATTTAAAAACATTTTAACACACCTTTGATTCTTGGAGCACAGACACAGGTGGGCTTGTCACCTATGGTTCTCCGTCCGGTCTTGTGAACACATGAGAGCCCAGCATCAGCAGGCAGAAGGTTGCAGCTAGGAGAATTATAATAATGTCCAAACATCTCTTCACTGTGGAATGGATTTGATTTAATTTGTGTTAGGCTGTCGGAGACAGTACAGTGTAGTATGGTAGCCTTCGGAGTCATGCCTGGCGGTTAGCGGGTTCATGTCATTACTGAAGACATTGCTGTTGAGCTTGAGTGAGACGCTTTGCCTCCAATTGCTCCAGTCCATTCAACTGTGTGAATAGGGACCATCTGGGGGGAATCACATGGTCTCCATCCCACTTAACGCTATAGAAACCAAAATGAGCTCTGTCCTGTTGAGCTGCTGTGGATTTTATCTTCACTGTTCAGTGTTTTGTAGTTTATGAAATGAAGTCAGTTATGTAGACAGTTGCTAAGCAGTTAAGTCACTAATGAAATTCTCATTTATTGCCACTCTCTCAGCGTCAGTGTGAAAACAAGTGCCCTGTAGCACAGATGTCCACAGCCTAACCTTTCTGAAGTGTCAGAGAAAGCGATTAGCTGTTTCTAATTTGAGCAGCCCAGTTCCTGCTGAGACTTCTTCCAAGTAATCAGTTCTTATTATCAGATCCATTTGTGCAATATACATTATTCATTTTTGTAGATACATTTCACAGCAATATTTTATAGGATAACTTGTATGAGACTGTCTTTTCATCCATCACTCTTAATGAAAAATTAATATAGACAGCAAAATATTCCCCCTCACGGCAGTGTTTGCAGGCAAGTTTGCTCACGGTGTGTTTAATTGATGGCATCTCTCATTAAGACGCCCACCAGCATAACCTTTTGTGTGGGAATTTTGACATTTTCTCCCTGGTGTCCCAGCATTTTTCCGAATAGCCCTGCATAGCAAATGTCTGTAGACATCAGGATCTAAAAAGTTCATATCTGATGAACAATGACCTGTATGTTCTTTTAGTAAACAGTGCAAAACTACAGGAAAATCTTGCAATAATAATCTGCATTCTATATAGTTACTGTATACTCTATGAGAATGAAAGTCAAAAGAAAAAGGTATTGACATGTGTTTAGTGACATCACTAATAGGCTTTCTGGTGTGGACAGAGTATGGGAGAAGATGGTTTATTGTGTGTGTGTGAACTGTGCTCATGTGTTCCCTCAAAGATCTCTGACTCACCCTCAGTAGGTGTTTCACCTACAGGGATCCCCGCTACCTGAGGATGGGACTGAGTCACCCGCGACCTCTGCGCAGCTGCAATCAAGAATCGGGAGCAGTAGGGTGAGTTCAGATCCCAAGCGGATGGGTTGTGCTGGGATGTGAACTCAGGTCCTTCCACAGCCAAGGAGCGCCAGCCTAGGGCTGCAGAGCGAGAGGCGAGGACTCACTGAGACAGCGCAGGCCTGCTCACACCACAGGGCACGGACCCTTGATACACAAGGCAGCTTTCCCACAGCCCCGCAAGGGGAACCAAGGGGCTCTGTGCGTGTGCCTTTATCCAGTCACGTGCATGAGAGATCTGTAACACTGTACAGTCCAAAAAAGCATCACAATCTGTCCTTACCTCGATGTACTTCACCTGTGGAATACTGCGATCATGATGCCATCACGCATTTCTAATTCATGCGAAGGCAATACAACTACATTACGGATACATTTGTCCTAGTGTCTACATATGACTTTTTCTTCAAGCTTTACTGCTGTGTAAAGGAATAGACACTGTAAACAAAGTATTTAAATTTCAGTTGTTTTAGTATAAACAGTGAAGTGACAAATCTTCATTAAACAAGAGGTTTTAAACATTTTACTCATACGTTTCCCTTTTTACTATGTGGACAGTTTTTATGAACAGAATAGATATAACATATTGCACTATTTATGAACAGAATGAATATTAAATATTGCTATATATATGGTATACTGTAAATCGTATATTTACAGGACATCATTGCTGTGGTAGTTACCCAACAGATCGCCTTGCAGTACAGTTCCTGGAGAACATGGCAGAAAGTAAGGATAAATAGAAAATGACACTTTTTTTTGTACAATGCTTTTTCAAAGCGAATTAGGTCAGGAAGTGCTCTGCAAAGGAATCTAGTAAGTACTGTCGAACACAGTGGATTCTTCAGTGTTCGAATTGATTGTCTAGTGAAAACCTCCTCTGCACAGGAAGTTCTTTTTATTCCAGGGAATCCAGGTACCAGGTACAAGCGAGGATGTGTCTCTAGGGGAGAGAGAGATCCTCTGTGCACCCCACATTTGGCCAAGCGACATTAGGAGTTTGAAACAGGGGAACAGGCTGCCAGGACACCGCTGCTTGGCAGTGAGGTCTTAGAGGGTAGCCGAGTCTGCTGTGTGGTTGACTCATCAACCTCCGAAGCTTCGGCTCCAGCTTTTACAGAAAGGAGTGTGTTATAACACCGCAGGGGCTCTACCTGAGGACAGCAGGAGTGAGAGATTCATTGGGACAGCATGACAACCGACCCTTTCAAAGTCACACATGAGAGGGGAGAAATACTTGGGGTCCCCAATGCAAGAATACAGTAAAAGAAATACAGCCCAGGACAACATGTACAACTTAACTTGGCTCATTGTGACTGAATGAAGTGTAGTAATTAGCTACAGCAAGCCACACCCTGTTCTATCAAATCACAGACGCTGTTTTACACACATGTGAGCATTCAGTAGCCTTCTTTTATAATCAGAATCACGTTAGCATTGTCGATTTACAGTATATGAAATCATCAGGTATGTAATAATCCATGTCAGGCATGCCGTTTTGAAGCAAAATAAGAAAGAGAAGGTTTTTTTTTAGAACTATGGCACATATGGTAGCAAATATCTCTCTCACTCTTTCTTCCACCTATAAAAAAAGTTGCCTTGTGTCTCCTGTCCCTCAGTCCTCGGCCTCTCTGCTCTGCACTTCCTGACGTTGGTAAGATGCTGTTTGAAGTTGGCAGATTTGGCATGCAGACTGTCTTCATACCTCTCACTGTCCTTAGTTAAGCACATCGCATGACTCCCCAAGAATACATTTCCTTTATATAACAACGTTGCAGAATTAAAGTGCCATTCAGTAAACGTTTCCTTACTACCTGCAATATAAAATGCTTGGTCAGTTTTTTCGTAACATTGTAATATTTAAGTCTCACATCGATCGGCCATTAATGTGTTTGGGCATCACTGATCTACAGATGCTACGGTGATGATGCTGGTAGTGTGTGTACTGGTGTTTGTTCATCATTGTATACTAGCATGAATTATGTTTGTTATTTCCATTTATTTATCTTATTTTACTCATTGAATTCATCTTATTACCCTTACAGCAATATATTGAAAATATGCTAAACTAAAACATACAGGTTACTTTTTCAGTATTTTAACAGTCCCTGTATAATCCAATAACAATTCAGAATTATCAATATATTGCAAAATAGTCCATTCCAGCACCTGTTCTATATTTTGAAAAATAAAATTGGCAGTTAGTTGAAGTAAATTTACATTTGTAAAATACAAGTCACACGAATGAAAAAAGCACTCTTGCACAATACTAGAAAAAAGGAAAAGTGTTTCTAAGATATATACTATACATTGTGTGCAATACAGCAGGGAGAATGTTTGTCTTCTGGTGTTGTCTGTAATTGTAACATGTATTGCAGCAGGAATTATGGAAACTACACAACATGAAAGCAAAGCATGTTGGGTGATAGGTACCATGGAACAGACTGGGCGGAGTGGTACCAGTGATCCCTCGTACAATACGTCTTGGTATACCCTTGGTAAACTTAGGAAGAAACCTTTCTATAGTCCACCTGAAGGAACACACACTGCTTCTAGTCTAGCTGTATAATGGTGGGAGTTTTCTCTGGTCCCAGTGCTGTCTAAAAGTTATTGAAGGCATCACAGGACACAGACTGTCCTAAGCTGGAAAGAGTGATGCTGAACCCTAAGTTCTCCAGGTTAGGGGCTGCTGCTGCCTTATTCTCAGCGTGGGTCCAAGAGCAGACTGCAGTGGGTACAGAAGCTGATGGCTCATTCGGGTATCTGTAGATGCTGTCGGAGCTGCTTTGTTCTGATAAGTGAACACAGAGCTCAGCGCTTGAATTGCTGTAGTAAGGTGAGGGCACTTGTCCAAAAGTGCAAACCGCGTGTTCCTCAATGCTCATTTTGGGGTTGAATTACAATTTTTCAAGTTTATGTTTCTAGAATATTTTCTGTAAAATTATATATGCTGTAGTCTCGTGTTATTTAAGTGAAATGCATTGGAATTTAATTTTGAAAAGAGATCAAAGGAACATTAGTAGTAGTAGTAGTAGTAGTAGTAGTTGATGAGGTTTTTGTCCTTTGGAGTGTTGATTTCTTGCCTCCTTAACGTTCTTTGGTACTTTGCAGTTTGACTATTTTTTTACTTTTTACACTACCTTGTCCAGTCCTTGTCAAACCGTATGCTCTTGTCAATAACACTTTAAACAATACTTCCTGTTTTGCAACAAGAAGTGTATCTGTAGTACGACTCGAAGACCCTGTATGTTATTAGAATGTTTATTAGTATAGATTGCAGTGTCCATTTGCAGTCCACTTACGGTACCACTTATTATTCCTGCTAAACTAATTTCTACATTTTTATTTTACAAGAAATAGTAATGGTTCTTAAAATTGTAATAATAAACTATAGTGTGTCCAACAGTATATGTCATATTGTTAATGTTGTATTATTGCAGAGTAATTTTGATCGTTGCAGTGTTAAATCAATGAAAATAATCCTGTTAAATACTGATATCTAGGCACACTTTCCAAGCATGTAAAGACAACCTGCTGCATGTCACAAAGATTTAAGTTTATTCTAATTCTTTCTGCCCTGATGTGATATGTTCAACTTAACTTGTGACGAATGCGTAGTAATGGAATCACTTTGTGTGTAATATAGTCTAGCTTCGGATAACAGCTCCCTTGATGGCTTTTTTTGTGAACAACTTTGTATTACCTTGACAGTGAAAACATGTGAAAAGCAAGCAGAGAAATTAGATCTAGACCCAAGGGACCATAGTCCCTCCTACATAACGGTCTCTTTCTTAAAGAATCCAGTGTGACTCTGCGACTACACTTGCAGTCACAGAGACTGGATGTCCACCTCCTTTCAGTGCAATAACAAAATAATATTTTTGGCCTTTGAGCATGGTGATGCCGCAACATTTGTCATACTGAGTTTATCATTTCCTGCGTTCAGCTTAGAACAAAAACACCTTTAGATCAGGCTTCACTGATCGGAGCAGCTTCGTCCTGTGGAATCTCTGCAAGACCAGGGCACTGTGGTTTTGTGGTGAGGAAGCAGGAGCCTGTATCAAAGCTGACGGTGCTCAAGAGATTGGCCTGCATGAACATGGACATCACTGTGCTGTATAAAGTGTGCTTTCCATTCTCCTGAGAGGTCTGTGATGTGAGCCCCCTTATCGCCTTGCAGTATGGACACAGAGGGGAAACAGAAATGACACTCATAGGAGTATGCTGTAGTTCTCATTCTCTAAAGGTATCAAGAATAGATGAGAGTGAGATCATTTTATATAGTCCTGTATACAGTACAGTACATTGCAGTGACACATCTCAGTCATTTTGCTTTGGTCTCATTTTCACTTAATATGTTTCCTTTTTAATTCAGAAGCACAACTCGGTTGAGATCATCTGTTGAAATGTTAGCCTTTGTATTTTACGTTAATAGCTAATCCGCACAGATCTGTTTTTTGTAGTAAAAATGATCTTTTAGCTTTATAGACATGTGGAGAGGAATAAATTATCTTAATGACAAGGAACCTGACAATGATTCAATTAGATTTGACTGGTAAATATGACAGGTTATTTGTTGTAACTCACCATATTGGCTGCTTTTATGTAGTTTGTCTGCAGTTGTTACCATCAAGGTTCTGAAAATTCTGATCAATATGAATTATAGATTGCTTAATGGCAGAATTGGTTTCTATGCATTCCATTCCATAAAGACCCATACAGTTGTTTCCCTGTTGATCCAATTAAATAACTATCAATTATAACATTATCAATATTGGAACAATAAAAAAATCATTTATTTCACTTTATCATCTGAATCCTGATTCCCATGTGCTTTTCATACACTGTTCTCAAAATACACGTCGCCAATTCTACTCTTCTTTCCTTCTTTTACAGTACGTGCTTTTAAAACATCTTACGTTTCTAACATCTTTTACCAAACCTCAGTGGCAGATGCTATTTGAATGAAAAAATAAAAACAAATACAGAGTGCATGAAAGAGATTTAACATTGGAGATAAACCAGAGGACTCTATTTTATTTCTGTCTTCACAATAATGTACATTTTGTACATTGCAGTGCCATTAAAAGCAATCCTGTCTATTTTTTCTAATGAAAAGTGGTATTATTCATCCTGGAATACCTAAAATCTAATACAATGACTTTATGATTGCAACTTGAAATGCTTCAGACAGGACCCTAAAATATGAAACAGAAATTTCTCAGATTTCAGCAGGTATCAGAAGGATGTCTTTGTCTGTGATTCACTGTGGCTCGTTGTTTGTCAGGTTGGTTTTATTTCAGTATTGGGTTTTGATTGACATCAGTTGAAGCTTATTCGATACACTTTGGTGATCGAGGTCACATAATGGTGTGTTGCACTTTTTAAGGTAGACAATTCTGACTCTTGGAATGGTAACAAGATCAAACAGGGCCTCATGTTGATTTTCTTCCTTGCATTTTCCTTCTGGAAAGATATGAAAAATTTCATATATGCATTATATATATGAAATCGCAAAATTCGTGTACTGTACTTGTATACTTTTCATATATTACACATATGTATTTTAGTGCATATGTGATTTTGTGTACATAAGTCATGTATAGTGATACATGGAACTGGAAATGACTACCCATATTCTTTCCATTGAAAAGGTGGACAGTGTATGTCCTATTCTATCTCTAGTGCCCACCTCCAGCCTCTCATGTCTGAACTAGACTTTGAGATTAATATTTTCACGTGAGAAGAAGAGGACAAGTACAGAAGAACCTTTTTTTCAGGAGAAACTGACACAAATGATCTGTTTAACCATAAACAGAGCTGTGTAATCACACTTATATGAGACTCTGGTCCCGTAAAGCTGACAATTCAAGTTCTTGCAAATCACTGGAGTGCTGATGCGGTGGCCTTCGGAAGCTGGTGTCATTTTCTTGATTTGCTGCTGTTTGGTTGAAGACGGAGTTCTGTAACAACAGCTGAAGGTTAAGGATAAAGAGGCGGCAGCATCCTGGTAATGAAATGTGGGCTGTGGTTCTGAATAATGTTGAAGTGGAAACTCTGCCAGATCCCAATCAATATAGCTGTTTTTTTTTTCACAGTTCTGCAGGGCTTTCTCAATGCTCTGCGGGCTGAACATCTGTTACTTGCTTGGACTCACTGTCCTTCTCCTGAGAGTAGAACTTTGATTTATCCATCATTGCAGGGTGTAGCAACAGCCCTCTCCCGGGTCGGCTTTTCTGAAATCTCTCTTTCTCCCATCTCCTCTCCCTGCCCCTCTCTGCCCCTCAGCCCTCGCCCTGTGAGTGGTGCCGGTGTGAGCCCAACAACGAGGTGCACTGCGTGGTGGCGGACTGCGCCGTGCCAGAGTGCGTCAACCCTGTGTATGAGCCCGAGCAGTGCTGTCCCATCTGTAAGAACGGTAAGGGCCTTTCCCGAACATCCTGCTGTTCGAAAACGGGAAGGAAATGATAGAGCTGGAGAAAACGTTTTGGAAGTCATGCTGTCTGTCCCGCCAGATCATTTTGGTTGACCTAATGAACAGGTATACAGTATAGGTTACAGGAGGTCATTTTAAGTTTCAAGAGCATGTGCTCATTAAGAATTATGGAGAAGAATCTTGTTTGGAACTTGCCGCAAAGGGAAACTGACTGAAGAGACTTCTTATTGCTCGTGTATCTTGTATATAAAGCGAAAGTTAGCAGCCATGGGCTAACATGTTACGTTTCAAGAGATAATTAATATTCATTCTCCTAAGTCATAGATAGATTATTTAAGTATTAATTAGTCCTGGCCCTTTCACAATGCTAGTAGGAAGACTAAAGACTTAAAAAGCTCTTACAAAACACCATACCCCTGAAATCTTGTAAGGTGCATACTGTATATATGATCCATTTCACAGGTCAGAGTTAGTTGTGTCATGCGAATGAGTCCTAAGGACAAAACTGTTGTCTGGGTGCTGGCTTTGACATATTATGTATACACAACTTACATAACATACAAAACATTTTCCAAACCCAGCCCTCCAGAGGCCGTGTCTGCCTGGAATGGATGGGTCCTTAAACATCTTGCAATATCTTGGAAACTAGAGACAGTATACGCCTGGTTGAGGACTTGAATTCAAGTCAAAATCTCTCAAGGTGGTTTTGATTTCTAGCCTTGTGGAAAGACCAGAGCTATTTCACATATGCATTCCCATAATGCAAACCAATGCCTTTCTCTGAAAAACAAGAAAGATAGATAACAAGTAAGGCAGATAGATAGCATGCAGAGCAAAAGCATAAATGTTTTATGTGTACAGTGTTAATGGCATGTCACAAAGTTGTGAAGTTCACTCTTGAGGATGAATTTCAATAACTCAAGAAGAAGGAAGGGAGGAAATATGACAGCAAAGCCAACTGAAACATAAAAATAAAAAGTCTCCAATGAGGTGCTCTCCTCCTAATTGCTGCAGCCCAATTTATGCTCTTTGTGATAAATAAAATAGTAAAACACAGGAATAACAAAGTGCATTGATTGAGGGTGCCGTGAGATATATTAATTAACCCCAAGGGAGTTCTCTGCCTCCTATTCCTAGTTGTGCTTGTCAGCATTAGCCAATGCTTAAATTAGAATTATAGGATTCCAATTGTTATTGGCTCGTAACAAATCTTGAGTGTGGAGTCAGCTGAATCTTGGGTTTCACCTACCCTCTGGAAAGTGCATCTTATCTGGAGCTCTGTAATTGTCAGGCATGCTGGAGAATCAATGATCACACAGGTGACTGGGAAACTCGCAGTTTTTGTGAATAAGAGATAGAGGCTCTTCATTAGTATACCACAGCTCAGCCTGAGGACAGATGGGAATAGATCCCGTACTCAAAGACTCCTACTCAGTTAGAGGTTTGCATGTAAAATGGGTCTGCGGAACAAGTCATTTTACACAACATCTTGTCATGTTCAGAGGATTTTAATAATAATAATTCCTTACACTTAAATGGCACTTCTCTGGACACTCCACTCAAAGCGCTTTACAGGTAATGGGGATCCCCTCCACCACCACCAGAGTGCAACCCCACCTGGATGATGCGACGGCAGCCAGAGTGCGCCAGTACACTCCCCATACACCAGCTCTCAGTGGGGAGGAGAGCAGATTGATGAAGCCACTACACAGATGGGGATTATTAGGAGGCCCTGATTGGTAAAGGTCAAAGGGAACTTTGGCCAGGACATTGTGGTAACACCTCTACTATTTTCAAGAAACATTCTGGGACTTTTAATGACCACAGAGAGTCAGGACCTCAGTATTACGTCTCATCCGAAAGACAGCACCTTTTTTCTACAGTAGTAGTGTCCCCGTCACTATACTGGTGCATTAGGACTCACACAGACCGGAGGGTGACCGCTCCCTACTGGTCCCATTAATACCTCTTCCAGCACCAACTGTAGCTTTCCCATTTTTCATTGCATGGCTGTATCAATAAAACTAGCACTGAACGTATCTCTGTTCTTATTCAAAGTTGCATGAATGGAGTAACTCAAGTACAGTGTGCTTTCATTAGAAGTGATGCGCTGTCTGCATGTCGAAGTTAAGCTGTGTTTTTTCTGTGTCCGGAAGTAGAGGGAAAAAGAAATGCTCTTGTTTGGCAGAAAAAAATGACATCGTCACTAATGCAGCTGCAATAGAACTAAGAGCCAGGCTGTCCAATCTTCCACTGCTATTAAAATAATGGAAAACATAACTGAGCTTTAAGATGTATCACTGTGTATCCCACATGGCAGATCCACACTAAAACCACTAAATCAAAGGACTCAGTGATTCACTGATATCTCTCTCACTGCACAAAATGGCATTTTCACTACTGTCTCATTGGTGCTAGTTAACTCAGACTGATACTTTCAAAGGTTATGCACAAGAATCTTTTTGAACAGGCCATTTTCAATAGCCTTCCCAGATACACAGTAATTTTGCGCTACAACTTAGGTATGATGTTGTAGCTGTTACATAATGCAATCTACGAAACGCTCAACATGCAATATAGTCAAGTTTATTACACAGTTTATTAGAGAATCCATTTGATATATGTCTTATCATCAGATCATTGCATTTTTCTTCTTCATGCAGTTTTCTGTTTCTTTCCTTTCAGTACAGCCTGTTCTTTCCCAGTATGTGTTTTCTGTTGTGGATGTGGTATTGTCTTTGTTTTTCTGTTCTGTATTAAATCTTAAAAATAAGATTTCTTTAAGATTTGTGAAGGCCTGAATTTGAAGTCCCACTTGCTAAACTCACCATGGTGAGGGCAATTTGGCATAAGGATGGTTAATTGCTGTCTAATAGGGAAAGTCTGAAGTCACTGTAGTACCTCTAAAGGCAACTCCAGAGGGATTCTGAGAATTAATAGGGATAGCTTTTTGGCTTTTAGACTTTGGGTTTTGGTGATTTATCTGCTGTTTATTGCTTTTTATGGTTGTTTTTTTATAGTTTATCATTGTCAGAGTATGACTTTAATTGTATAGTGCTAGGGAAGCGCAGTTTGTTTGTGTATATTTGTCTTGTTTTTTGAGGGATCATTTTTTCTGAGCCCTCCGTACTGTTCTCTGTGTAAGAATGTACCACTGTGTAAGTCTGTAGGGGATGGAAATCTGTGAAATGAAGCAGAATTAAGAGAACGGTGACCGGTTTCATCTTCTTTTCATCACAACAGCCCTTTCTATTGCAAAAGTAAAATGTATTCTTGCTGGGAAAGAGAACTTCACATACGATTATAATGAAAGCTGCAAAAATGTTTGGTACGTGCCTCACGAAATGTTTCATCACATTACACAAGAAAAGAAAACATCCATTCATTTTAACAGAACTGTGCTGCAAATGAGGAAGTACTTGAAATGACAGGGATTCGCCTGGTTACCTTATTCATAGGAAAATTAACTTCAAAGTCAATGTGTGAACTTCACATAAAAATCAATTAGATTCATTGGTTTATTACACAGTAAATAAAAAAGTAAAGCTAGACCTATTTTTAATACAGCAAACATCACAAACTAAAATACCTTTAGTATTCATTAGGCTTTTAATGTATATTTTTACTGACTGTGACAAGTTTGTTACTTCATCTGTTTTTCAGAAAATACAGTTTGTGATCCTAATGTGTCACCCTTATTTTCAAGAAATGTAGGACTATTTGTTAAAAAAAAAACAGCCCTTCATATATAAAAGAACTCTTTTACTTAATTGATTTATTCCGGGAGACAAGGGGTTATGTCAAAACATGTCTTCTGGTGACAGATCTGAAAACAGCTTTTTTTTGCCAGATAAAAGTCATTGGCTAATTTTAGACTTCATTTACCACTGAATCGGGCTGATTTTATTTGTGTTCCCCTGTAGCGTGGAATGACCTATATACTGGGCCTCTTTGTCATCCTAAGCAAGTCGAGTGCTTCTAGGTGCAGTCGGAGCTTTCAGGTTCCTGCCTGCAGCTGCCAAACCTTTAATACAGATAGACAAAACATCGCCGAGTGCCGCTTGTTGTGGCATTTGATAGAGCCTGGGTCCACTGCACAGCCCCAGGGCCTGGTCCTGCCTTGAGGACTGATGGACTGCCAGTTAGCTGTCTACTGGAGATCCAGAGATCGGAGTGAGATGCACAGGTGCAAGTAACTCATTGACCTTTTCACCTACAAGGTCTGTTCCTGACATACCTTCTGCTTAGGGCAGAATGCTCTAGGGCCAGTGGTCACTACTGGACATGTCTGCTCTTAAGAATGAAGCCTTTTGAAAAGTGAAAAAGGTTTGAGCCACCTAGCTGTTTTGATGGATTGATGGATGATAGACATGATGTGCATTGCCATAGCACTGTCTTCTATGTCTAGACAAACGGATTGGCTTGATCACCATTGGCTGTGCTGTGTTCCAGCTCGCCCCCATGCATGCTCGGTGCTTTTAAGGCTATCTGATGTCCTGCTGTTCATCAGTTCTATTGTTTCGTGATTGATTGTGAAATGGGGTTTGTGTGAGTTATGGAGTGATTGATTTTTGGCCTGCGTAAAGTGTTGGTTAATGGGAATTAGTATTTACAGCGTACGTCTCAGGGGCTACACTTCAAAAAGGACGGGAGAGAGTCAGATGTGAACCACCATGCTGAGGGAGTGAACAGCTTTTAAAAAGGGAGTAATACAAATGCAGTACAATGGCCACAAACCGCAAACCCATGTCGATACAAATGAGTCCCCGTCTGGCGGTGAAACCCTGATCCCCATGCAAAAGTGCAAAAGGATATGTGTACTGCAGGTGAGCAAGTACTGTAGGAAACTGGATCAGTTTTGCTTTAGTTAGGAGGAATGCTCGTGTTCATTCTGTGTTTACTTTTCAGTCTTCTGCTGAAGCTTTCAGTTTCCAGCTCAAGCTTAGAGCTGCACGCTGGGGCGACAGCACTGTCTTAGAGCATGGCACCGCATCGCTGCAGCTGCAGCCATTTCGTAAGAGCAGCAGAAAGTTCACACATGAGAGGAGGTCAGTAGGGCCCCTCTAGCTCACTCAGTTGCTGGAAGCTAATTGATCCAAGGATGTCACCCAGCTGTTTCCAGGAGGATCCAAGGGTATCAGCTTCAGCCATTTGGCTTTGTGGAGATTGTGCAGAGAGGCTCAAATGAGAGGTGACAGAAAGCTAATTGAACTTGACTAGATAAGGAACAATAGCTGCAGCAGCAGGAATTCTGTGACAAAACCATTAAGTCCTAGAGAGGTGACCGCAGTCCTCTCTCCCTCACAAATGAGGGCAACCGGAACCCAGACTGCACTCTGAAACCTGGCACATATCGGATATGGAAAGCCTTGCTTTTATACACTGTGTTATTGTGTATAAATGAACACTACAATTATTCAAAATCATATTTCAAATCTTCCATTATTACAAGTCTCATCTTTTTTCTGGGAAGGAACCGTGCAAAGTGTCCAAATCTGTACTGACTGTAATAGCAAAGTTTCGAACTGCCCCAGTGGGACTGAAAAAAACAAAATTAACAAAATCATGTGGTGTTTAGTGGTTGCACAGTCTTAAAATGTAACCCAGCTCCACTTTATTTAATATACAGTAATCTGCTCTCCAGGCAACACTGACCCCCCCTATGGGTCATCACTGAGAACACACCCTATCTGAAAGCTGGAGATACAAAATGCTAAGGATTTGGACAGTTTCTTATGTTACATTATACCAAGTGTAAATTTAAGTTAAACACAAAACTTTTGACTATAATTGCCAAATTTAAAATGCGATTTTACAACAGAAGGCACAGTAAACGTAGCACAGGTTTAGATACTATAAATTGCTTGTTCCTTCCACTAAGACATTGTCTACTTGTGGGCACGGTCAGGTTCATGTGCTACAGTGTATTTGTCATCTATTGAACACATCCTTCAGTGCGAGTGAATGGATATCATCATGCCAAGCCATCTGGGCATAAACAATTGCTTTTGGCAGAGCTGGTTACTGAACTTTGAACTTTCGTCTCCGGTGAGTTTATTTATGTCTTTCGCCAAGTGCTTTCCAGATCAATAGGAATTAGGACTTGGCAGACCTTGTTGACAGCTCTCCAGGCCCCAGTCAATGGATTTTATCATGTTCTGCTCTGCAAAAGCTAGCAGACTATAAATTCCCCAGAAGGGGTGGAACTCGCAAGGGGAACCTGAATTCCAATTGACTGCTCGGCGATTTTTCTCCTTGCCCTTTGCCTGTGTGATATCAGCATAACATCCTCGTTTCGCACTATGATTCCAGTTTCCTCTCCCCTCCTAACTCCATGACTGCTAGGCCTCGGCTCTAACTGGTCTAAGGGCACCAGTGTAGCAGATGTGATTAGATCCTAGATCTCAGACGCATCTTGGAGTGTCTCGTCCACGGGTAACTCCATGTAGCCTGCCACTAGACTGAGGATTCTGGACGCTCAGGAGATCTGGGAGATTTGTGTCTCTGTAACAGTCTAATTTATGCTCTCTTGAAAACCGGTTGCAAGTTTTGAATCCAATCCTATGTAATAGCATACCTAATTCAATATAAGAATATAAGGAAACACAATAGAGGAGAATATCTGGTCCATAGCTAAATATTTTTTGCAATTATATATCATCTCTGGTGTTTTAAACACATTTTTGTTTAGCTCCCAGTTGTGTCCTCTGGATCCTGTTTCACTATTCTGAAGTGGTTCACTGGGCTGACTTTATCAGTGCCTATGAAATTCACGAATACTTGGACCAGGTCCATTCAGAGTGTCCTCTGTTCAAGACTACAAAGCTTCACTTCCTAAAGCCTGTCAGCGTAGGACGTTCCTTCAAGAAAGATATCTCACTCCGCTTCTCTGGACTGATCCCAGAGTGGCGATTTGTTTTTTTGTAAAGGCGCAACCAAAGTTGTACACAACGTTCCACGTGGAAAAAATATGTATAAAATGATCCATAAGTTATCGGGAAAACAGGGACACAATACAAGAAAAAAAGATTTCCCCTTCATGTTTACGAGAAGCCATGGGACACCTTTACTCTGGCTTAGTGGCCTAACTATTTCAACAGTCGCCACTAGGGATCACTGCTCTGTATGGCTTTTCTGTATGCAGTCCACTCCCACATGCTTTTTATGTGGCACTCGGACCAGACAGGATGGATGGCTTTCCGAATGGGGATAATCTCCCATCACTCTCAGTCTCTGGTGCCCTCTGGCTGCATCCAGCTTCTGCTCACTTTGGGAGTATCTTGTAACAAAGGGCATTTGGGGCGGACCTGATTAATTCTGTTTCTGCACGGCCCATGACAGCTCCTTCTCCAGTGGGCATACCCAGTTACCCCTATGGTACTAACCATTTAGCCATAGGCACTATCAGGCTTCAAACATGAGTTCTACAGATCCTTGGAGAGCTTTTCAGTAAGGGTGCTTTATAAAATACAGATGATTGCTGTTCTATTGCCTGCAGGATGAATTACAGACCAAAAAAATCAGTTTTACTAGACTGGATAAAAACGGTGAAACCCACACCTCACAGCCGATTGCATTCATTTGTAGATTTAGTTCATAAGGACAGAAGGGCAGCCTGATTGTATTGCACAAGTGCATAAACAGTGACAAGGCGGTCAGATCCTTCCTCTAGTCTTCACAATTCTTCACAAGAAACGCACTTAAAAAAGACAGTTGAAAAACGGAAGAGAAGCAGTCCTCGTGCTCCCCGTGTTCTCAAGGGGCTTCCTTACTTGAGTGCCTCCGTGTCCTTCCTGGCAAGCAGTCAGCCCTTCACGTGCCCACACAAGCGTGCCGAGGCCCCCACTGCGGCAGTGCGGCGCAGATTAAGACTGCGATCCGTCATTTGCTTCTCTGTTTGTTGTTGTCTCTCCCTTGTTGCTCCAGGTCCAAACTGCTTTGCCGGAACAACTATAATCCCAGCTGGGATTGAAGTGAAGGTTGACGACTGCACCATCTGTCGCTGTCACAACGGGGACTGGTGGAAACCGGCTCAGTGCTTGAGGCGCGAGTGTCTAACCAGTCAGATTTCATAGGAGCCCGAGAGGGAGACGACTGCAGGAGGCCCACCTGTTATAACTGACTTGAGTACAGCTCCTCCGCTTACCTGACGGATAAGCACTTTTTGAACAGTCATTCACATATTTATAAAAGGAAAACAAACTTGGGGGGAAGGAAAACTGAAGCAGCTTTATTAAGATTAGGCAGATATCCCTGTACTTTTTCTATGATGGTTCCTAGGTGTCCTACTCATACAATGCTTTCTCAAGAACAGCTTTTTTCAATTCTCAAAACTCAAGTTTGTGATTCTGACAATTTATTTGAACTTCTTTACTGCAGGAGTAAATCTGTCCTAAATATTAAGCTATTTTGTAAGGCGTGCCAAGTAATAATATAATAACATGGTGGTGCTCCATTAAGAGACTTTTTTAAGAGCAGGTGAGTAAGAATGCTAAAATAATGACTGAAAATTCACCTAAATGAGCCCGGCTTTGGGGGAGGAGTCCATTTTTAAATGTATGCACAGGGGGGGGAAATTCCCAGTTCTAGGGGCATCGCTATTCCTGTACTCCTGGTGTTGCAACTTGACAAAGCTAATTGCTGTTTAAAAAGTTCCTGGACAGAAAACCAGAGCAAATCTAAGTCAGAGTGATTGAGTATATGGTGCAAATCGGAACCCTGAATAAAGAGGGAGGAACAACACAGCAAATAGTTGTAAGCACACCAGTGACAATTCTCACTGTATCTCGGTATAGACAGAGATAGACTAGAAAGACTTTGGGTTTGAGGGTGACGTAACCACATGGACAGTTTTGAGGGATAGTGAATTATTTTAAACCTCGTAAGCTGTTACAGAAGACTTCTCCCATTAAGTCCCATTAGTTTTTGGAATGACACTCTTGTTGGTGTTATAGTTCAGGTGGGGAGCTGCATCAGCATGCGTAGGCTGCAAAGAAACAAGTAATAGGTTTATTCCATGCTGAAAAAAAGAAGAAAGAAAACACAACGGCCGTGGAGCCTTCTTCAGGTGTGAGGAACCTCAGGTGAACCTCAGGAGGAACCCTCACACCTGAAGAAGTCTCCACGGCCGAAACATTGTGATTTCTTTCTTCTTTTTTTTTCAGCATGGAAAAAACCTATTAATTGAATTGTTATTACTACTTTGAATTGTTATCGGTTGCTTTTGATTGAAAAGCCAGACAAATCTAAATCTAACTTATATAAGCTATCAGTCTTAGAACAACTGTTAAATACCTTAACATTAGGGATTTTGCACATTACCTTCTGAAATGTGGCAAATAATCCCTCACAATTAGACTGCACTTAGTAATGACTCCCTCTGATTTATGAAAGGTTCTTGGGGACTCTGATTACCTCACCAATGGCCTCAGGGGAAGATTATCAGACTGGTAGGGAGTGAGACACATGAGATCTGTTCTCAGAGGACTGGGATTGTGACACCTCTCTCCTGAGAACAATGGTACAAATGAAACAGCTGGGCAAAAGAGATGTGGAACTAATGAGGCCTACCTATGTTTTGGATAAACCTTTGGGAATTAACATTTTGGGGCTAACACAGGGGTTAAAACTGAGAAGATTAATTACTGTAATGGATACTATTGCACAGTAGTGATATATCTCCATGCAGTAGCCTAGGAAGCCTATGATCGAGCTACTGTATAGTTTATTTCAATCCAAGAAGAAGAGGCATGTCTTTACAAGAAGGGTTGTAGGAGGATGAAACAAGCTATCCAGCCATGTTGTAGAAGCCAATACCCTGGCTCCTTTAAGAACCAAATGGTTCCAATTAGCTATTATAAGCTTCTTATAAATTTCAATTTGGAAAGGCAATGTAAAAATATTTTCCGTTTCAATGCTTTACCGATGTCCTCCATATATAAGATACAACAGGAATATTTTGAAAGTTTCGCTAGATTTCATTGTCCCTTACTTTCACATGCAAAAGAAGATTGTTTTGCAATACCACTATAGCTTGAAACTAAGAAATTAATAAGATGATGAAGGCTAAACCTTCTCATTTTCTTTAATGAGACCATTTTTGACTAATTACTGCCCCCTCCTTTACATTACAGGGAGCCCACAGCACTTCTCTGTAAGGAAGAGAACACATCTCTGAACAAAAGAATAAGCTGAGAATAAGGTCACCGACTTGGGAGCAATAAATATGATTCTTCAATTTTCAGTCATTACATGAGCTGTTTTTTAAAATATGTCGTCTTTCATTTTTCAGATCACATTCTCATGCATTAGGGACTAATGAAAGAGCCCTCTTTGGATTTTCGAACCGGCGGTCTCCAGTAATACCTGAAAGTGCTGACGTTAATGACACACGTTAATGAAAAACGTTGCAATTCATTACCTGTGCTTTTCTTAAGAGAAACTATGAGCTCACACAGAAGACTGTTAGCCACCATCCCCCAGTGAGAGATGAATTGTTTACCAAGACTGCAAAGAAATGCCTTGAAATTGCAGGATTTCCCAACAGGGCCGAGACGAGGAATTAATTTTACATTAAACTTACAGAAAGGTTATCCAGCTTTTAAGAGGCCGAGGGAATTGCATTTAGATTGCGCCAGCTCTGTTACCTGGTCTGTGGCTTATTGTCAAGCTTATCACTGTGTTTACAAGCTTGAGGGTCGGGTTCACTTGCATGATAGTATGGAGAAAAGTATTTGCTTGGTGTTTTTAATCTAAGAAAACATTCTAGGACGCATCTTAAAAGATACGCTCTTTACCACAAAAATGACTTTATCTCCCTTTTCTGTGTCGGCGCTCTCTCACGAGGTGTATGAATATGGAATACAGTGAACTGATAGGACACATATTTAAAGCAGCAAATAATCTCTGCTGAAGTAAAATGCATTGCTTTCTGTAGAACAGATGCATGCATTTTGGCTCACTCTGTTATTATTTCTATGGAGATTATCTGACAAACTAAAAAAAAAACAAAAAAGGGGAAGACGCATGGGTCAGGACTACAGAGTCCTCATCTGGCTCGCGTCTCGGGAACCCCTACATCTTTTTTTTAAAAAACACACTTGCAGAACGTGGCCATCAGACGTCTTTGGAAGGCTGTCACATTCTGTGGAGATAAACACAGAGGATCCCGGACGCATCCTACCTTCAAAGGAGACATGTCCTGGATGGATGAGGCACAATGCAGCAGCTGGAATGTGAGATCTTGGAGAGCAGAGGGGATAGTGAGTGTGACAGGGCTGGAATAGCAGGGATGAGGGAAATGAAGAGCCCGTAGGCCAGCTGTTCCTGGGGGGGGGCATTTCCCTTGGTCCTGGGGAACCCCACCCCTGCAGGTTTTCATTGCAGCCGAGATCTTTACTAGAATGAAACCTTGAACGGTTTGTTTGGAGGGAACCTGTGCGATTTTGTTTTCCTACTCGAAGGGCTGCAGAACTTCGGAACTGAAAATTCAAATCCACAGTTGAGAATAATGAGGTCTTAGTAAAGGGTCCAATGATTTGAGGAACGGAAAACGGCAGGCATGAGGTTCCCCAGGACCAGAACTGGGAACCCCTGTACAGACATGTACAAGCCCATTTTGAGACAAGGTGTCAATTACAACACCGACACTCTGCAGGGACAGCTGGACTCCTCCCATTTGGTCATTGTGGAAAACGTGTGGGCTGCAGTGAGTATCCAGCAGGGCAAGTCATAATACTTAGCAGAACATTTTAGGCAATGCAATGTGAGGGCACCCAAATGATGGGATTTTTAACGCAGCTAAAAATGTCATGTTATATACTGTATATATGGATGCACTTTGGTTTTAAGATGAAAGAAAGGCCTGAAATCTCTAGTTAAAAGGGTAGCCTATTTCAGCTCATTTATAAGTCTTTTCTTGTAACTGAAGTGTAGAATACCTCATGCCAATGTAGTGCAGAGCCTTTTGCACCTTCACAGTGCCCTACACCTACTTAGGCAACGAGCACTATAATACAGACAGACATGCACTGGAGTGTGCTCGGCGTACTGCATAGTCACTGGGCTTAGTGACATTCCAGCTGAATATTTCCCCCGTCACCACAGGCTGTAACAATAAAATATTACAAAAGAAAAGAAAACCTTAATATCGAAACGCCAGATCTTGCTGAGATCTCAAAGGTACTTGGAAACAAAGACGCAGAATTGTCAAGTTTCCAAATTCAAATTGGAAAAAAATCCCCCGGCCTGCCTGAACTTTACATAACTCATGGAAAGGACAATTCATGCTGCTTCTGGAGCACAATTAGCATATTTCCCCAGGTGGGCAGAATGAAGTTTGTAAGTAATGTTTTGTATCCTATTGAAAGCAAAACTAATCCTGGCACTTTAACCTCTTAGTAGTCTTGGGCCATATGCATGAAACTTGACATTCTTCATTGATCTGACGTTATTAATGTGGCATTTTTTTTTCAAATGATCATCTGTGGTTGATTGAAAGATCACGTAGGCTAAATCTGTCTTTCTTAACACATTCAGGATTACCAGCATTAAACCAACACTGTTGCTCAAATCTGCTAAAAAACAACATGTCCAAGCCACTCGTCACTAGGCAAAACTCCAGTTTTATAAATTGCACGCAAAGTACTGCCCTCCTTCATTTCCTTCAGACTTACCATGGACATGTTTTATACATATGGCTCCCAGTGTCTGTATCCCAGTACATTGACTTGTCATTTTTGTAAATTGTACTGCTGATCTCTTCTCACAAGACACCAGCTTACTGTAGCTGTTGGCTATCGACGATTGTTCATTTTTTTAAGATCCTGTTACAAAATGTGTGCCTGGAAACGAGCTAAAAAAATACTGTTAAACAATCAACTTCTTTACTTAAAGAAAAATCTACATATACAATATGTAAATATGTATGACCTGTGCAATGTGTACTCGGAAAAGGTGAAGGAATTGTGTATAAGAAAAACTATTTTGTTAAATAGAAAAAAAAACGTGTTATTCAGCAAAACCCATTGTGCGTGTTTGTTTTTTAGAGCAGCTAGTCACACCACGTCGGTGCAAGCATGTGTTGGCTTTCTGCTTTCCTCCACACACAAGGTAAACTCACTGCTTACAGGAGGGCTAGACTGGCCCAGACTGCTGTATTACACTGAAACCCCAGACCCTGGCGCAGATCAGAGCACAACACAGCAGGCTCTGGGCTCTGAATGGGGAAAGGAGAATCGTCCTGATGACTTAACACGTAACACGTAGTTTTTAACAATACGATTGAGCAGTTTGTTCCTGAAGTCTAGAGGCCTAAGGAATTCTCACCAGCAACTGGGCCTGACTTCATCACCACCGATCCCAATGGAGCACTTCCAAAGCTCTACAGAAGAGAGCATGGAAGTCAGATGTTTTTCTGCAAAGGACAACCTGAATTATTTTTAAATCCCCCTTCAACGGAGTAGGAAGATTCTGTAGATGGATGTACAGCATAAAGTAGCAAATGCATAATTTCCCAGAAGTCCTGTAACAAGCTTTGTTTTCGAGCAAATTCAGATGAGACTTTTCAACAACAGGGAAAAAAACAGACAAACAAAAAAAAACAAAGCACAGGAAGAGGACAATTGTTTTAACTTGGTCCAAGCAGATGGTGAAGACCTGACTTTTGTTCTCCCCTCCTCCCACCCCACGCCTTAAGACTTCTAATTAATCACAACTTTTAAATTGCCAGTCCCATTAATTGCCTTTACCATCTTTGGGGGCCAGAATGGGGAACCAATTTAAAGCAGAGAGCCACAATCAATAGCAATTAGGGGCTTGCCATCTCATCCTATCGAAAGGCTCTTCCTGGGACGCAGCCAGACAGCACCCCTGGGGAAGAGAGGCCAGTAAATTGCAGGATTCTTCAGACTTTTTACTAAAAAACAAGCGCACCTGTCCTGGTTTCTTACAAAATCCGCTTGCTTCCTGGCAGGCGGGTGTAATTGGTTCAGTCTTCTTTTCTTTTTCTCGGCTCCTTCATTGTGCCTGAAACGCATGCCTTCCTGCCGTTCTGGTGCAAAGCGGCCCCGCTCTGTGACTGACTGCAATGAGCGCGTGGCTTGAGAACCCAGAAGCACGGGATTCTCGGCTTTTCCTCTCCGGGAAAAAAACAAAACAAACAAGCTTGGGCTTTGTTCTCCTAAAGCAAACTGCGGGCTGAAACACAGAGTGGGGAAAAAAAACTCTCCAAAACAAAACAACTGACGCTGCATGATTTATTTTAGAATATATTACTGCAGAAAAAGACAGGTAAACATAAATATTTAACAACAGTAAAAATTCACTTAAGAACACCTGCTACATTTAACATCTTCTCTTAGTGTGTGAATGTACATACTGGAACACTCTCTTCATGACAGCTGCTGAGCCATTAATATAAAAAGAGAAGAGGAAAGATATCCAAGATACGTACAGATATATTCACAGCTCTTGTACAGTCGCAGGCAGTAAAAGCAGGGGTTCAGATGCAAAGAAATGGCGGGAAAAACAGAACCTCCCCCCAAATAATCATAAATCCAAGGGGACGGACCCGGGTGAGATCCGAGCGTTTGCCACCTGAGTTTCATGCACCGTGGTGTGGTGTGCCGCCGGGAAACCTCGGCTCGGCGCGCGCAGAGGGCCCGGGGGCTGGGGCTCGGGTTCGGGCACGGGGAGGAGGCGGAAGGCCGCGATGCAGTCCAGGAGCCAGGCCGAGGGGGCGGACCAGACCTTGCCCAGGCGGACGCGCGGCGGGCGGTAGGCCGAGCCGCGGTCGTACAGCACGTACTGCGTGCAGGAGCGCTGGTCCGAGCCCGGCGGCGCGTGGTAGGCGGCCGCGGCGACGGTCTGCGTCACGTCGCTGTCGGGCTTGGGCTGCCGCAGGAGCACACGGCCGCCGCCCTCCCTCGCCAGCCGCAGCAGCTCGTCCCTGGGGGGCCGCCGGAACGAGCCGCGCAGGAAGAAGAAGCAGCCGTCGAAGAGCCGGGGGAGCTGGGGGGGACACGGGTTCCATGAGCCCCTCTGGGACCCTCACGCGGGCCTGCCCCCGGAACGAGAAGCCCGACCGCACGCAAGTGTTCCAGAAATGTATCTAATCTAATCCATCTAAAACATATAATACAATACATATCATATCATACCTGTCTATAATCTATCTATCTAAGACGCATGTAAATGTATCTAAATCTTATAATCCCCATCTCTGAACTGGCTTCCTCACTCTGCTCTCCTCCCCACTGAGAGCTGGTGTGTGGGGAGCTTACTGGTGCACTGCACACTGGTGGGTCCTCATCACTGTAAAGTGTCCAGAGTAACAAGTAATAGGTTTATTCCATGCTGAAAAAAAGAAAAAAGAGAACACAACGTTTCGGCCATGGAGCCTTCTTCACCTGACAACCTGACAACAGCTGACACCTGAAGAAGGCTCCACGGCCGAAACGTTGTGCTCTCTTTCTTCTTTTTTTCAGCATGGAATAAACCTATTACTTGTTGCTTTGCAGCCTACGCATTCTGACGCAGCTACCCACCTGAACAACTAAGTGTCCAGAGTGTCTAGAACAGCGCTATAGAAGTGGAAGGAATTATTATTATGATGTGTCTGTGTGGAGCTTCTGTAAAAAAAAAAACAACAACTCCTGCAAATCCAGAATGACAGCAAATGCTTGAAGGATCCGATTCCTTGCGAGTGGAATGCCAAACCCTGAACCTCCTCGGCTGACTTTGCTGCGACCCCCCCGTACACGCCTACATCCCACAGGAGAGCCTGTTGGGATGAGGGCCCTCCCCTGCAGAGCGGACTAGGCAGAAGAAACGGTGCTGGGCCTGGCTCCGTTCATCGCGGGGCAGCCCGGGGATGGGTTTCTAAGTCTTGGACTCACGAGCAGATTCAGGTTTGTGGACGAGCACAAGCTGCTGGAATTGTGCCGCGTCCTCTGCTCTTCCTGCAGCCTGGGCTTGCGTCTACCAGAGTCAGGACCACTGTTCTCGACTTACAGGGAATTCCAGAAATAAATGTGGACGCTGCTAAATATTCAATACCGCAAAGCAGAATGCCTCTGAAGGTTGGCCTAACAAAACCCAAAAATCAACTCTGCAATAATTCAGCTATTGCTTTTTTTTACTACAATGAACAAAAGAAGTAATTTATGGCTGTATGCTTCGCCGATTTCTAAGGATTTAAGACTCCCACAGCAGAGCTGTGTCCCACCTCCGTCAACGTCGCCCCGTGAAACTAAAACCGAAAAAAACCGAAGCCGCAGAGACATCTTCGTGGTTTCGAGATTCTCCAGTAAGAAACGGCCCGAGTGTTGCGTTTCCCAGACTGTATTCATACGTTACCATGTTCTCTCTGTTCACACGGCTGCGCTGGGCCCCCTCTCCAACTTCATAGTCGCTCTCCGGGGCAAGGGTACCAGCCTTGAGAGAGTGTTCCACCCCTGCACAGAGGAAACACAGCTCTGAGCACGCGGAAAACACCGCAAATATCCGCTGGCGCCCTCTTAAGAACACAGACATGAGCCCCTGTTATTAATGGGGGCCGTTTCGGTCAATGCGCGATCCAAGGTATTTCACCGGTTCAGAGATGTCTTTTCCTGTGACACTGCATTGTTCTATGCTTCTGTGGCTCTTTCCTGTGATACCGCATGCCTACGGGCTGCTGTGAAAACACAGCTCTGAGCATGGACAAGTAGGGTCTGAGCTCGATCTGGTTCTCAGGAGGCGGCCCATCCTGTGTACAGATGTTCCCAGGACCACACAGTATTAGTTCCATCTCTGCAAGATTTTCTGGCACAGTACATCACTCATACCGTTGTCTGGATTTCCATTCTTTCTGAGAAATGATCAAAGCCCTTCCTACTTCTGCATTATCTTCTATAAACATCCTATCTACACCTGTGCTTCTATAGAAGTCATTAACTGTAATTACTACCATTTTTTTTAATTACCACTCAGCAGAACCTGCATTTTAAAAAGCCTTCAAAGGCTCAGCGAGAAGACGGCAATACCTGCATACAACCAGATTACTTATTTCTTTCTGAATGATATAACTGCTCATTAGTGCAACAATAAGGCTTAATTAACACATCTGTTAATTACATTTGTAAAAACAGCAATGTAGTCCCCTGATGGGTGTTGGGCATTCATTCAGTGCTCATAGTGTCTGCTCTGGGGCAGTGATGCAAAACCCTGGAAATTACTCTGGCAAAGCGAATTTCAAACTTGCTTTGCAAACACAGCACTCAGCACTTGTTGTGAAGGGCTCATCAGGGTGTCGCAACACAATCTGTACTGCACAGAATTGGGGGAGAAACGAAGTTTGAAAAATGTATACAAGTAAGTATACACCTGCGCATAAAGGAAAAGCATCTTAAAAAATTAGCCAGTAAAGGACCGAAGACAAAATGGCTTCTAATGGGGGTATTTATTAATCTCGTGAAGGTCCATCATGGATCCGACACAGTCACTGACTGTGCTGGGAGATACAGTCACCGAGCTGTACAAAGGCAACACTGCCCAGTACTGCAGGATTTACCTAGCGGCACCGTCTTTTCCTTCCCCCTTTGGCTGAGTTCCCCCCCCCAATATATACATCCATCCATTTTCTAGTCGCTTCATCCGATTCAGGGTCGTGGGGAAGCCAGAGCCTACTCCGGCAAGAAAACGGGCGCAAAGCGGGACACCACAATCGCAGGGCAGACACAAACACACACACACACTCACACCAGGGCCAAACTTCCCTGAAGCCCATTGACCTATCAGCATGTTTACGGACTGTGGGAGGAGCCCAGAGCACCCGGAGGAAGCCCACACCAACAGGGGGTGAAGGTACCAACTACACGCAGACTCCACACGGACCGGTCCGGAATTGAACCCAGGGCCCCAGAGCGGACCTCCGCGCCTACTCAAGATATATAGTGGGAGTAAACGCTGAAGGCGGGATCAAGGCACAAGGCTCCTATAATTGGATGGGAATTCTTTGGTCCGATGGGATCTGCACCTGCGGCTAGAAGGTTGCCGGTTTGTATCCCGCGGCCGGCAGAGGAATCCTACTCTGTTGGGCCCCTGAGCAAGGCCCTTCACCCCAACTGCTCCAGGGGTGCTGTATAAAAGGCTGACCCTGCGCTCTGACCCCCAGCTTCTCTCCCTGTCTGTGTGTCTCATGGAGAGCAAGCTGGGGACTGCGAAAAAAGACAAATTCCTCATACAAGAAAGTGTATAAGTGATCTTTCACTAACCGGTTACCGCCAGCGGACTCGTGGCGGATACTCACACTGAAACTTCAGGATCCAACAGCCGTTCAGCACAGCCAGCAGGCAGCTCAGAGTGGTGGGCATTGGGCCGTCCGCGACCACAACGTGGGTCACTGAGGGGCAGAGGGAAAAAGCAGGCTGTGCCTCAGACGTGACAAGGCCCTTTTTAGAATAAGTGTGGCGTGCGACCCCACTGGGCAGATGTATTGGTCGCTCAGAAAGACACCTCCTTCGACGACAGTGTAGTGAAAACCAAGCACCGGGGGGAGAATCTGACAGCAGTTCACGTACAAACAGCCAAGAGGAACATACCCCCTGTGGCCAGTGGCCGCACACACCAGGGTGCCCATGAGAGGGTAAACCATGTACCTCCCGAGTTTAATCCTGGGGAAACCACCTCTGCTGTGCGCTGCCATTGTCGAAAAGCAATCTTCACTCTCCCACTGACAGTTTTCAATATGCAGCTGTTTGAATCGGCCTCCTAAATTGATAAGCACCCTACATTAATACAATCAACACCAGTTTCTACAGTTTTCCACGGAACTTTAACTCTATTGTTTGGTCTTCTTTCTAGATTTCACCTATGAGAAGGAGAACATGGCATATATATAGCATTCCCTGCTAATCCCGAGATTGCAGTGGGAGAGGTGATGATCTCAAATAAACCCGGTGGAACCCGGAGCTCTAGACCCGGCGGCGGACAGAGGACAGCGGCCTTGGGAAGTTAGTTAGAAACAGCCCACCGCGCAGTCCAGCCCCTGCGAAGTCCTACCCGCGCTGGTGAAGCTCTCTGCCTGCCCAACTCCCAGGACTCTGCCCAGCCTGGAGAGCTGTGCCAGCTGGGGCTTGGTCAGCTTACTGCCCAGCACCGTCACGGACCCAAATCCTCGAACCTGGAACAAAGCGCAGGGACGTACAACACTACCTGCCTCTGTTTGTCTTTGCCCATGCTGTCTTATAAAAGCTTTAACTGAATACGACTGCATTAATTAGACTCATGAAACAATTAGCCGTTTTGGGAATGATAAAAGACACTTGACAACATCGAGCTTCTTCTTAATATTATTGTTTGTTGCAATATCGAAGCTTTACGCTGTGAAAAGGGGTAGCATCAGAAACGAGCACCCCCTGTCTGATTCTGCCTGGCCCAAGCCTTACCTTGCTCAAACTGGTTTTGGGGCTCTGCAGTGGGGTTGGGGTCCCCTGGGGAGTTGCCTGCAGGAGGGCCTTCATCTCGGGCGTCTCGGCGTAATCGGCAGGCCGCAGGCCGAAGATATTCCTGCAGCAGCGACACACACGCAGGCTTGATCCACACGGGCAACTTGCAAAGCTTTGCGCTAAAACAAAAAATCCGCTCCTCTACTGGGGCACCTGCAACTTTAAACTTAACTTCTCCTGCAAGCACTTGGAGAAAAAAAAGACACCCCAAAAGCACAGAAAAAAAAGCTTTGGAAGAATACCTTGGCTTCCTTTCTAGAAACAGGACGTTTTAGTAGTTGTGGAAAGTTTCAGAAGTTTTCAGAAGAGAGGTGAGTGAACTGAAAGGCCTCCTCTCATTTGCCACTGTTCTCCTGTTCTTTGAAAATCACCCTGGAACTTGTTAGCAGGGAGGATGAACCAACAGGGTGCGAGAGGCTCTCAACAGTACCGTGTGCCTTTTCCCGAGCAAATGCTCACCGCACACCGTCCCACTGCCTTTCCCAAGCTCATGACTCATTTCTTAATCAAACGCCTCATTTTAATTAAATGCTCCTGGCCCAAGAAAGACTTTTATTACTTCCTCTTCTGTACTCCCATAGCTAAGAGCGCACGACAGGGAGTTCGCACAGACGAGCGCTCAGCTCATGGACCCATCAGCAATGAACTCAGTCAGGGCTCCGACTGAGGAGGATCTCCTGCTTATCGTGACCTTGCACGCAGCAGCTCTGCTCTCCTACCCTCGCAGTCCCCCTCTCTCCCCGAGACCTCTCCTGCCCAGTTTCTCTGAAACGTTCCGTCTGGAAAAGCCCCTGAAGCACACAGACCAGTTAACAGTTTGTGAAAGCGCCCTGCGGCACTCCATCGGGAAGGACACTAAACCAAATAAAAACTGAACGGAGACGGAGTTTTTTTTCTAACACGTTCTCCGCAGATCAAATCCTAACCAGCCCCAGGAGGAATGAGAAAAACTGGTTGCCTGTGAGCCCTGATCCTGCTGTATCTCACTGATATAAGACAAAAACACACTGCTCCCAACTGACTGCCCGCTGAAACAAGAATTGAGAATGACTTTCCTCTCCTTCTACAGCCTCCCTCTCTGATGAACATGCTATTTCAGCTGCGTTACAGTGACTTTACATACAATTTCGTACAGTACAGGTATATTCTATGCTATCACAAAAGTATGCGAAACATAGGATATAAGCACACTAAACTGCAAGAAACAATAATGCTTTCGTTTTGCAGCGGCTGCTTTGTAAACCACTGCCTTCTCCTCTTTTTCCTGGACCTGCAATTCCACAATCCAGCAGGTTTTATACTGCAGGTCACCCTTCAAGCATCATCTTTTAAAGGCTTGGAAGACAAACATAGGTTCTTGGCCAATTCAGAAGGCAATCTGTTCTGCTTATGCAGGACTGTTCATCCCTAGTCCCAGAAGGCTGAAGCCCGTTCTTATTTTCGTTTTAAATGATCTGTAGCCGAACCCAATACCCGATCAAGGATCAATAAGAAACCGTCTGCAGCCCCCCAGGCCCTGGGTCTGTCCCCACTTGCAGCAGACAGAAGCAGGCTCTGCTTTCACACATGACGTGAGTTTAAAAGCAGGCACTCAGCTCCAGACCACAGAGCGCCCTGCTCTCGCTGGCAGCGGTAACCTCCCCTGACCCTACCGACCCTGGTCATTCCTTTCTCCCTGGCGGGGGCAGGCTGTTGAGTGCCCGTTCCTCAGCGCCAAGCAGTAGCTGGCTCAGGCCATGGAGGCAAATTACTTTCAGCTCATTTGATTGCTTGCCAAAAGACAGGAGAAAAAAAAAGCTGCTTTCTGCTGGATGTCCAGATGCAGCTATGGACCGAATCTAGAACCACGCTCCTAGCTAATCTACTGCTTTCGTTTTGCAGCCTAGTGTTCCAGTGCTTTACTGAACAAACTAAAAAAAAAAACAACACAATGCCTGCTGTACACATCATCGGCTGAAAAACCAAGCTACCACACATTGATACACCCCAGCCTCTCGCCTGCTAAACAGCCAGGCTCCAGTGTCAGAAGAGACGTTTTAAATCCCTTTAAAAAAAGGCCCGCGAAGCACAACCTGCAGACGATTTTCTTCCCTTCCTACACTGTCGATTTGCTGCACAGCTGCAGCTGAAAACAGCACCTGAAATGAGGTGCTGCATAAACAGCACTTTAATGACATGTAAAATGAAACGGTTCGAGAAGTAAATGGCTAACAGTATGTCACCAGCTCTGACAGAGTCTGGCAAAATGCATCCTAAAGCTCAATCACACTTTTGTTTTACAAAAATCGCAATTGGCAACTGTGTGGCACTATTACTTTCTTTTTCTAGCATTCTGTTAGCGCTCACTGGCAGAGAGATTTCGCTGACAATTTTCGCCCTATATCCAACCTTACCTCTTGCAATTCAATTAAATTCCTCTTTGAACCCTTCCAATCAACTACACGGCACAGATACCGCCCTGGCTAAAGTCAGTAATGACCGTCTTTCTATCCTTATTCTCCTAGAGCTCAGTGCCGCTTTTGACACTGTTAATTACAACATCTTGAGACTGGAGTTTCTGACATTGTTCATAAAAGGTTAATCTCTTACCTTAGTGATTGCCAACGCTTTGTCTCTTTTGGGGTTTTCAGTTCCACAGTGCTCAGGAACGGGCCCCCATTCTATTCAGCATTTACATGTTCCTTCTTGGTTAACTCTTAAGATCACATGGTCTGAATTGTCATTTCTATGCAGATGATTCTCACATCTACCTCCATACTAAACCCGACACTAAAGTGGCAGTTTCTGCACTCTCTAATTGCATCTATGACATGAAAACCTAAATCCATAGTGACCAACTTCAGTATGCCCAGAATTCAGCAGCCAGAATCCTGATGCTCACCTACAAGGCCCCTGCATGGCTTGGCACATCAGTACTTGTCTGACTTAATCGCCCTACTCCCCACCTCACAGCCTTTATTTGTCTGGCTCTGGTCTACTGTTTGTCCCCAAAGTTTGTCTACTGTACATGCAATGGGTGACAGAGCCTTCTCTTGTTGTGCCCCTAAGCCCTTGAATTCTATCCTCAAGGACAGCAGGGAGTCACATCCCTTGAGCTCATTCAAATCCAGACTCAAAACCTTCTTCTTCAGAAAGGCTTTTATTTAATTGATATCTACTGTGTTGGCCCACCTACACCCTTGCTTCAATTGTTCTAATTCTGTTATCTCCTCCACAAAGTGCTTTGAGAAGCTGTTTTGAGGCGCAATGTAAAATACAGTTTATTATTATTAACACTCTAAACCAAGGTCTCTAACCCTGGTCCTGAAAAGCCCCAGTCTTATAGGGCACCTGTGTCTAAAGGTTGGGATCACTTGTAAGTTATTAATGAAGCAAACATCATTAACAGAAGACCTCTGGTCCTTGAGGGCAGAAGGGTACTAGGATTCTTGTCCCAGATGATCTGTACTTGACTTTTTTAAGACATGTGCTTAATTGACCAAGAGGAAACAGGTCCAAGTCTTTAGTAATCTGTGATTTAATGGTGTCCCATAAAACCTGCTGCACTGAGGCCTTTCAGGACCTGGGTAGGAAACCTCGTGTTCAGCAAAGTTGCACAAATAGCTGTTGTGCAGTAAGCCAGAGAAAAACCTTCAAAGATTCACATTCACCTGTTTGCCCAGGTGATCCAGATGTGGTTGGCACAGCTGGCACATCCCCACTGGAGGAATCCCACTTGCAAGTCATGTCATGACAAGGTCAGGCTCAAAGCAGCTCTGTCTGGACTAGAGGACTGAACCCTGCCTCTGAGCATGAGCCTTAACTGAAGCAAAATGGGAGCTCCTGAATTCACACTTAGCGATTCAGTAACAGCAAAACGAGAAATGACTTGATGGCTGTATCTGAAGTGTGTACCCCTCGGCAGACCCTTCGCAATTCCAATGTGCAGCACACCCAGAGCTTTAGATCCTGAGTTATTTAAAATATGAGGTTTGCCAACCATGACACACAGCATGCTCCCAGCACCCCGCACTGTTCTCTGCAGCTATCAGCTCCCTGCCCCCTGCCCCCAGCACCCTGCTATCTGCTGCCACCAGCTCTCTGTTCCTCGCACCCTGCGCCCTGCTTTCTGCTGCTATAAGCTCTGCTCTTAGCACCCTGCTTTCTGCTGCTCAAGCTCTCTGGACGCTGTACTCTGCCACCAGTGCCCTGCTATCTGCTGCCCCCTGCACTCTGCCCCCTGCACTCTGCCCCCTGCACTCTGCCCCCTGCACTCTGCCCCCTGCGAGGGCCGTGGCGAGCCGGAGATTGATGGCGGGCGGCGAGGACTCGTGGGGAGCGCGCGCCACGCGGCTAGGCCCCGTGTGAAATGAAGGGTGACGCCGGGACCATATCAAGCGATTAATTAAAAAGAAGCAAAGAAAAATAGGTTTGGTTCGGGAGATTAAACGTCTGCACCGCGATAAAACCTGGGGGACAATTAATAGGTCCACTGGTCCATAAAATATTTAATTTGGATTCATGAAGCCTCCCCCCCCCCACCAGCACCAGCGGAGAAAATGTATTGCTTCTGTTTAAGAGGAGAAAAAAGAAAAATAGAGCTGACGTGGTTCCAATTATTAATGTGTATGAAAAAAAGAACATGCCCACAATACAGAAAAAGTAAACGATATTTATTCAGCAGCATCTGGCTTTGGAGGCAATTCCAGAGGGAAAAGAAGTAAATAAATAAAACTCCTTTTCCTACCACTAAGTGCTGGTGGGAGTTGCCAGGTAACCTGTTTTCAGACAGATTTTTTGCTGCCTGGCTTTTTTACAGAAACACTGGCTCATTTCTCCTTTAATCTTGGCCACAGTGTGCAGTGGGGTTATGTGTAATATGAAACCAGCCTTTTGCTAGGAAAGACCAAAAAAACATCTCTCTTGTAAAAACTATAATTAAAAACCCTTCCTTAAACGTACCAGCGCTCCATTACAACACTAGATTACCACACACCTGCTGGTTCTTCCACCAGCCCAGCTTCATTACTCAAAGCCCTAATTGCTTTCACAAGGAGCTTGATTGGAACATTTGAAAATGTCCAAACAGTTCCAATGAATCCTATTGTGAAGTCTAGGGGTTCAGCTGTACAACTGCGACTCTCAGTGAGAGCTCGGCTGGAACAGATCCCAGTGTGGGGCCCTGTAAGACCAGGACTGGGAACCCCCGCCCTTAGGGCAGAGCGGTGGCACTGTGGCTCAGGATCTGCGCCTGTGGCTGGAAGGTTGCCGGTTCAAATCCCACGGCCGGCAGAGGAATCCTACTCCATTGGGCCCCTGAGCAAGGCCCTTAACCCCAGCTGCTCCAGGGGCGCTGTACAATGGCCGACCCTGTGCTCTCACCCCAAGCTTCTCTCCCTGTCTGTGTGTCTATGTCTCATGGAGAGCAAGTTGGGGTATACGAAAAGATGAATTCCTAATGCAAGAAATTGTATATGGCAAATAAAGTGATCTTATCTTATCCTTGTGCACGCACCATGAGGGCTCCCAGACAAGCACAGAAGCCACAGGACTGTCTTTCTGCAGTCTCAGACCGCTTGCAGGCAGGATTCCAAACACAGTCTGCAGTCTCAAACGCGTAATTTCTCAATAGCACAACACAACATCCCAGTATTGAAAAATTCATCTGATTAAAAAACAGAATAGCTAGTCGAGAGCATTACACCGCACATATCTGTACAGTATGAGACTTGCAGGATGGAACAGTGTAGAGATTTCGGAAATTAAAAAGAGATTACACCCTTAAATTATTTTGCAATTTGCAGTTTAGCCCCTCCAGTCAATGTTTGGCTAGCCTTGCTGACCAAGAGCCGAGTCGCTTACACAGAGAACCTTTTCTCATTTGTCATTCATGAGCTGCATTTGTCTTTTGAATACTGCAAACTTTTTTTTAAATGTAATTGTTCATTTAACTAGGTAAATAACTGGAGAACAAATTCTCATTCGCTATGCCGAACTGGGAGACAGTTCACACAGCAGGGCGTGAATCCTAGCACTCTGAGTGAAGAGCTCCGCTCTCGTCACACAACAGTGCTTCACATCTTATTTGAACCCGCAACCTTCCTATTACAAGTCCGCAACCTTAACCACTAATCCACACTGCTGCCCAATTTCAGATTCTAAAAGTCAGCCTTTGGACACCCGTATCTCTTTCCATGAGCTGATGAGCACTGCAAGCCTTTCCAGAGGCAGAAGGATGGCAACCTGACGGTTAAATCCGTTTAATTAAATCCTGTATCTTCCCCAGAAAAAGAAGAAGAAAACATCCTGATCTATTCACCTCCCCCAGGCTACAGATGTCTCTGCATTTCTCTGTGTATTTATCCATCAGATTTAATTAACGTTCATCCATCTCGCTATCTACAAAACCTGCATCCATCTTTCCAAAGTGATTATATATCCTCCTGCCTTTCTATTTAAACATCTATCACCACTGGACTGTGACGATCCCTGCAGTCGAAGTGTCCGGCAGCCTGCAGCTCTTTGTCCATCAGCACACAGTGTGAGGGGCCCAACACACAGCCTGACAGCCTCTCCCTCCATCTCCTGACTTTGCCAGAGTTTAACACTTACGCCGCGCAAGAACAAAAGTCTGCCACTTCACAAAAGCCCTGGACCCAGGAGGAAAGCAAGCATGGCTTCATTTAAGAGGGCGTGCTTCGTGACTGGACAGGGGTCAAGGGGAGACTCACACTACGTCCTGCGAGGCGCCGTGTTCCAGCAGCAGCCCGACGACGAGCGTGTGGCCGTTCCTGACCGCGTCGTGCAGCGGCGAGTCGTTCTGGTACCCCGGTGTGTTCAACAGCGCCCCCTGCTGCAGCAGCACCTCCACTACAGGCAGGTGTCCATGGTTACAGGCCTCATGCTGCAGCATCAAGGATATCATACGACACTGGATTAGAGTTCTTTTTCTGGCACAGGGTAGGCTGGATCACGATTGAAGGAAAAGAGCCTTAACAAGACAAAACATTCAACAAGACACTGTGCACTGCTAAATCTCCACTTAGGAATCTTTGCTGAATTTAATGCACTATTTATGTATCCTTTATGTAACAAAGGTCACAGTATGTATCAGCAGATCCATTTCAAGAGCACTGCACTCCTGTCTGGCACAACAACCCTCTAGAAAGGACGGGAAGGGGACCCCAATGGTTTAAACAGAAAGACAGAATCATTCACACTGAACAAACTGGCTCTGTTCAACACACTAAGACACAGCTGCCACCTCACCGCGGCAGGAAGAGCACCCAGACACAGACACTCACCAGGGGAGTCCAGCCAGCATGATCCTTCAGGTTGGGGTCTGTCCCACTGCTCAACAGCTCCTGCACAGCCTGCACATCTCCCTAGAGAGGCAGAGGATGGAACCAGGAGAAAGAAAAACTGTGAAATAGAACTCGCTAATCTCCACTGCACACTTGGCAGAGGTCCTTAAAGAAACTTCTTAACGGAGCTCCCCTCCAGTCTTCTCTCTGCCCAACACACTACCATTGTAAGGGTCCCAGGTCCAGTCAGGACTGCTGTCCAGGAGGTTTTAGAGTCCCTTCAAATCTCCAGCTTCTCGAGGACAAGGAAAGGCTTCAACTGGTCCAATTGAGCAATTAATGAGTTCAATTAAGGGCTCAGGAGGAAAGAAAATCCGAATCTTTCTTGCCTCCAGGATCAGGGTATTTTGGACCGCGGGGGATTTATTGATGTGTAACACCAGAAGGTTTCTTCTTCCCAAACTGCACTCAAGACCAGCTAACCCGCTAGAACTAGGTTTCAGGTAACGAGACATATATATCAAAGAGATAAGAGCAGGGGATCGCATCAGCATGCGATGGCGCCAGTCAAGCAGAGGTTAACTTCAAGCAGAGATGCAGAAAGAAGAAACACCGGGATCTCCTCCGCTCACACCCAAATAACTCTACAGCCTAAACTTTTTTCTTCCCTCTCCCCCCATGTTTCAGCATGGAGTTAACATCTAACAGTTTCTATCGGTTAGCACTTGTTTCAGCTCCACTTCCGATGTATTTCAGCTGTCTGTCTGCGCCAATGCGCTGACACAGGAAACCCAGGCAAGCAAACTTCGCCCCAGCACTCTATTATCAGAAACGTAATTCCAGGGAATGAAATGAGCAATTAGAAAAGCTGTAATTAATGCTATACTAATTAAAGAGCAATTCAGAAGAGCTCTTAATCGGGGTGCACCCTGTAAATGTATTGGAGACCCTTCTCTTCATATATAATGAAAGTGTTCGTTACCAATTTTAAATTTGACTTATGCTTCAGAGCAGTATGAAAATTACCTAATGTAACCGCACTGTTTTCTTATGGATGCAGAACTCTTCCCAACAGCTTGGAAGTAAAGCCCAAGCACTGTTTCAGACACTGACTAAGAAACGGTGGTGATGATTCTCAGTTTGAGCAGATGGAGATATCATATTACTCTTTAATGGTCAAGGAAGCCCAGGCCTAAATATCTGGTGTCTTCTTGTACTGATCAGCTGCCTATTTCATTCCTTTCTTCCCAGTGTGAAGAGCAACCCGTCCCTCCCCAGCACAAAAGACAGACTGGAGGATTAGGTGTGGACTGGGAGAGCTTGGCTCTTCCACTCCAACCCAGTGCAGGACTGTTGGGTTACACAACTCGCCCAGCTCCAGGGGATCAGTCCAGCAGTTAAGGAATACCTGGTGCAATCTGAGGGCAGCACAGTGGCGCAGTGGTTCGCTTTGCTGCCTTGCCGAGATGGGACCCTGGGCTTAATTCCTGGGGTGCTGCCTGTGTGGAGTTTGTGTGTTTCCCCCATGTTTGCAGGGGATTCCTCCCATATTTTCCGAAGACATACTGGTAGGTTCATTGGCTTCTGGGAAAATGGGCCCTCGGTATGAATGCGTGCCTATGTCTGTCTGAGCCCTGTCATGGACTGGCGTCCTGTCCAGGGTGTATCCTGCCTTGCTCCTGTTGCATTGCATTATATATATTAATGGGAACAAGCAGAGGTAAATTCCTCGCTGAAGAGTAGGACATAAAGGCCCAATGTTTCTGCTGCTGAACCTCTTCGAATGTGAGGGAAAACCAAACTCTCTTTCTCCCACTGAAGAAGGATCAGCAACCGAATCACTGTCTTTCTTCTTCCTGCTTTTCAGTGTGACATTAACTTTGCTTGTTCCTTTACAGCCAGCACACACTGATGTACTGTAGCTCCCCGCTCGAACCTAATAATAATATTTCTTTTATATAGAGCATTTTACTATGCATGATCTCAAGGCATTAACCATCAATCACAAGAGAAAGGCATGGGCACATTAAAACAGCAAACGAGACAGAAAAATGTCAGGATATAAAAATGAGTTTTCTACATCTGATAAGGGTTGAGAGATCATTCCGCAGTCTTCATGGACTGGATGATCCGGTGTGTAAATTCCACTACATCTATTGCACATTTTGTTTTAATAGCCTAAAAAAACCTTCTGCAAGAAGCAGCAGAGGGGTGATGTACGAGATACCCGGGTGCCGACAACATTAACACGCCGTTATAGTCATTATCAAGAGACACATGGACCGAGCGGGACAGAAACATTCACAAAGCCTTCTCCGGGCAGGTTTTCAAGTGCCATGTTTCATTTCAAACGACATCCTGCAGGTCCTTCAGCCGTGCCCGATAGGACTGCGAGCCAGCCCGACATATCATTATGAAAATATTGATTTCTACGTTCATGCTGCTCCAGAAGTGAGATGGAGATTTCCCCCTCGCGTGCCAGAACGGCTTTCACTCCCCCACCTGATGCAAAACCACCCTGACGAAGCGCAGACTCCGCTCTGCCCAGCAGAGAGCAGGAGCGTGGAACCTGTTGGGGTCCTGCCCCCTAGATCAAAACCTGCTTGCGTTTGCTGAAAGGAATTCTGGGAAGAGATCCTGGAAGCAGAGGAAAATTGTGACGGGGTCCTCGTGCACCGAGGCAGCACGGACCACGTGTCCACCAGGGATACTTCCATCCCTGAAGGGCAGCGCGAGTCAGAGCCATCATCTCCGTTCCCCCCTACCTTTATAGCTGCCAAGTGCAAGGGGGTTTCTCCTTTGAAGTTCTTCTTCATCGCTGCCAGTCTCCCGGGGGGCGCCGCCTGCCCAGGGGAGGCCGAAGACCCCCGCCTCAGGGGCGCCCTCCTCCTCGGCGAGTGTGGCGCGGGCTCCCTGCCACCCTCCCCTCCCGCGCCGGACTCTGGGCCCACCCTGGCCTTCTTGGGGACAGGCGGCACGCAGGGACCTGCGGGTGGCGGGGAAGAGGAGGCGCCGGCTCGGCAGCCGGGGGACCTCCAGGGTGTTCTCGGGGAGCCCTGAGCACTGGAGCGCGTGCCCCGCCTCGGCCTCAGGGGGGCGCCCTCGCCCGCGGAGCCTGTCCCCTGCGGCGGAAGCGGCGCCGGCTCTCCCGCCGGGCCCGGGCTGGGAGCGGGCTCCTCCGCCCCGTCTCGACCGGTCTGTGGAGCCCTCACGGCCACCCGCAGGGAGGACCTCCTCGCTCCTTCCCGCTGAGAAGGGCCAGCCCGCGGCCCCTCGGGGTCTCCAGCACCGCGGACCACATCCGGGGCCAGGAAGGACACAGCTTTCTTGGACGTCACCTGCTTTCCCTCCAGTCCCTCTTCCTCCTCCTCCTCCGCTGCCTTCGCCCCGGGGCCCCGTGCGGTCTGGACGCCCCACTCCCGGTTGACGCGCTTCAGCCTCTGCCTCTTGCTGACCCCGCCCTTCGGTTTCCCCCGGGTTGCGGGTCTGGCGCCGTGCTTCCTCTTCCTGCCCTCAGCCGAGCTCTGGGACGAGGAAGAGGCGGCGAAGTCGAAGACGGAGGCCTCGGCCGGGCCCGCCGGGCGGCCGGCCTCCGCCTGCGCGTCTGGGGCTCCGCTCCCTCCCCTCTCCAGCCGGCACCTGACCTTGCGGCTCCGCGGGCTGAACCAGATTCTGAAGTTCTTCCTGTGCCTCCCGAGGGATCGGGCCGCAGGGCCAGCCTGCGGGGAAGCTAGAAGACAAGATCGCCTGCCGCATTAAGACCTGCTTTTCCAGCGGCCGCCCACTGAAAGACACTCAACTCACAACTAAATTGAGATAAAACGCTGCACAACGGGGATGCAGTTTTGTGTATTCTGCAGACATCCAGAAAGTCAAGCAAGCGGAACGCCGAGGTCTTTAATCTTTAATTCAATCAGTGCTTTTAAATGCTTTCTATTTTAAATAACCAGAAAGCACAGCATTCACCACAAAATAAAAACAAACTTAAAACAGAGGCTTCCGAGTGGCTCCACGTGCAAAGGTTTTCTTACAGAATGCAGGGTTAGTGCAGGATGTGTACTGATCTGAATTCTTCATCAGTGAAGCTGTTTCACTGTGGCTGGCTGGGCTGATCTCCACCAGGTTATCCCGGAAGAGTCAACAACAAGCGCTGCTGCTTGCTGTGTAAGCATAGCAACGCCCCTCTAAGCGATGCTGCCTCTCCTGTAGGCACTGTGGGATCTGCAGCAGGAACATTTGGTGGAATGGTTGTGCGCAGTTCAAGTTTTAGACAGAGATGCACATGGCCCCATTCACTGGTGCAGGTAGGAGAGCCACAGAACTAAACCCAAGCTGGTGAACCCCTGGCGAGTTCAGATTTGACTGCATACACTTCCAGTTCTAAGTGAAGAACAAATAATCTGCAGTTAACTATAAAGTGCTCGACAGCAGAGTTCACAGAAGAAAAGGGTAACGAACTGGGGAGCTCAAGTCCGCCTGGCCTGTGTGACAGCTTAGACAGCAGGTTGGTGCTTTGCGCTGGGCGCGAGAAACCCGGTGTGTCGAGCTGTCCGCGGCAGCTGGGTGCCGGCTCTGAAAGAGGGTGACCCCAGAGATTAGCGCCGCCGTCATCGGAGACCCCGCGCAGCTGCAGCGCAGAGTTAAATCGGCCTGCTTTGTCTGTGCCGGGAGCCCAACGCACAAATACACGCCAGAGCTAATTACACTGAATAATGACAGTAATTAGCTCTACAAAGATAACACTCCACAGAAGAAAAGAAGAACTATGTAGATACGGAGTGAGCTCCTGTGTGGACTCTTTATGAAGGGTTAGGCGAGGCACCATTATTATGCTTCATCTGTTGCACGTTGCCTTTTAATAGCACACAAAATCCCAAAGATGAAAAGAACACGTCCTGCATGGGCCCTGTTAAAGCCCGAGACCTTGAACAGATACACTTCGCCGGCCGGACAAGGAAGGGAGTAGCTGAGTTACCTGCACCTCCGCAGTGAAGCAGGGACTCCAGCTTGTGGACGTGCTGGGTGATGCTGTCCAGCTGCCGGTTAATCTGCAGGTCTGTGAGCCACACCGGGGTGTGACACACACTGCAGCCCTCGCTCACACACCCGACAGCGCATGTCCTGCAACGACACACACACACACCTCTTGACGAGTGGCCCTCAGGTGAACAGAAATGTCTTGACCAGTCTGCTCCCATCCATCCATTTGCTAAGAGCTTCTTCCAATTCAGGGTCGTGGGGGGAGCTGGGGGCCTATCCCAGCAAGCAACAGGCGCAGGGCAGGGTACACCCTGGACAGGACGCCAGTCCACAGGTCCGCAGGGCACAGACACAAACACACACACGTACCAGGGCCAATTTTTTTTCCCACAAGCCAATCAACCCACCACTGAGAGAGGAAACCCATGTGAAAACACATGGGAACATGCAAACTCCACACAGACAGCACCCCCGGTCCGTAAATGAACCCAGTGCTGCGAGACAGAAATGCTAACCACTGCACTGCCATGCTGCTGCCCCCACTGCGATCCCGCCTTGAATATTTCACCAATTACACATCAGGAGAGTCGAAGGAGGTCGAGTCAGCATTGCGAACAGCACCATATTATAACAGCAAGTGCGTTCGGTTTAAAAACACAGTGCTCAAAGGTTCTTGTCTGGCATGACTACAACACGATGCTAAACCATTATTCTGCCTCTCATCGCAGGCTGGGCGAAATACAATGTCATTCCTCTTGTGCTGCACTCTGACGATCCCCGTTTTGATACTGTAAGAGGCTTGCCTGATTGCAGTCGCTGATTTGCAATAGCTGCAGGGTGTTCATGCTGCAGGACACTCACCGGCAGAACACATGTTCACAAGCCCCAAGACACACGGGCTCGCTGAGGAGGTTTTCACTGCAAGACAGATCACAAAGCACCGCGTCAACACAGACAAATGCGCCCTAACTTCAGTCACACCGTCTCAGTCATGTCGTAGATCATGTAATCCTGAAGTAAAGGGGTACATACGGTATGAATCGTTCCCTTTACTCTCAATCGGCTGCATTTATAGATTTAAACATTACTAAAACGCGCTAATAAATCCTTCAAGAAATCGATCACGTAAGAGGTTTGCTCGAACCAAGATGCTCACTACTGGATTATCGCCGGCTGTTAGGCAAGAGGGGGGGGGTGCGAGTGCAAGGGAGGTTAACTGTGAGCTGGAAACAAAGTTTTTCCATGTTTCAGGGCTACCGGAGGGGGCTACTGTACCATCTGCAGCACAGCAAGAGGCTCCGCAGCTGCTCGACCGACTGGCGGGTTCTCGTCCAACTCCCGGCCTCGGCCTGCGGGGACAACCGGCGGTCCATGGACCTGCGGGCCGCTTCGTTCCCGGAGTGACTCCGCAGAATCGCCGTCCAGTTCCCTCTCATAAGTAACACAGAGATATCCGGGTTGAAGAGGGAATTCACTTCTCCCGCCACAAACGGCAGGAAAAGGAGGAGTTCGCGCTGCCAGCCTGTGAAAACAGACACAAATAGCAGTTATTCTACAACGCTGCTTTATTCTGGCCGGCTGTGTGAAGTGTGTCATAACTTTTCGCAGAACGCATTTGTTTTAAACACCGTAGATCCAGTACTTTTGGATTATACGACTTGGTAAAAACTTAAGTTGCCGTGCTGCCCGCTTTATTTTTGTTTCCTACCCGAATTCGTGTACTTACACGCCCTATTCGGGCTGTGGGCAGCTAGTGTCCAATCACAGCAGACCTCGACCCGAAGCACACCCACACTTCCGCTGCAGCCCAAATGGGGCGTGTTTCTGCATGAATTTGGGTAGGGAAGATGATGCGTCCTGTCCCATATTTAAAACCTAGGCAGCAGTAACATTTTTATAATTAATAACAATTCCTTACGCTTATATAGCGCTTTTCTTTCACTTGTATGCATTTTTAACGCAAATGTCTGCACACATCACTGTATGCATCTGTATAGAATTCCACTTAAAATGCATTTTCCTCGTTTCAGATGAAGCATCATTCTATGATATACCGAGTATGTGTATTTAACTATTGCGGTCTGTCATCTGAATTCAATTTGGAACGGTAGTTGTGCGATTTTTTTGTCAATAGAACGCAACTTTTTAATTTTGTACATTATAGTATGTCTTGTTTTGTACTTCAAAATACAGAGTTTCAGCATGACGAGGAAACTCAGGAATTCCAATCCACAGGATTTTCTCTGTGGGCGCGTTTACGGGACCGCTGCTCTGACCATCACATTTCAGTATGCTGTAATGTGACGAAAGACTGATACACAGTTCTGTCTGCACCTGGGCGACCCCCGTGTCTGCTGGGTATCGTTACAGCTAGGCCTTTAATCACCGGTGTTTCCTTGATGAGACTCTTTTCTGCACTTAGGTCTTGGTCTGAAAAAAACCCTCCGTCCGTGTATCCAGTTTCAGTGTCCTGAAAAGCTAAAATCACCACAGGAACAAGTTATAGGTTTATTCCATGCTGAAAACACAACGTTTCGGCCGTGGAGCCCACTTAGTGTGATACATGAGCAGTTCGCTCATTTTATTGTGAACATTTTCATTTTTTTAGACGATTTGGGAAATCGATTAAAGGGCAAACAGAATGTTTTTGTTTTTATAGACATATATTTTAACTGTTCTTTTGAACAGTGTGACGACTTTGAATGCCTACCACCTACAATTTGAGAATTAATCTTACCTTATGAGGAACTTGATGAAATGCCTCTAGAAAGGCCAGATCTACCACATCACATACTTTGTTCATGTTTCATGTTTGGATCAATCAATGCTGTAGTTGATTAAAATGACTGTAAAAGGTAATTCTCTTTCTTTCTTTTAACTTCACACTTAAACATGATTTTATTGTATTTTTGTTTACTATACATTTGTATAATTCATGTACAGTACCTTGAGAACGCTCCATAGTAAAACGAACCATATAAGAATAACATTGATTGAATTAATGAATTGTCAGAAGTAAGACCTACATAATTACTTGCTTTTGTTACCCTCTAGGTGAGTGCTACAATAGTATTTTTCCTGTTAAGTGCTAATAATCAGCTCCGTGAAGTTGCCCCCATTACAGACAGCACAAACGATTAAACCCACCTCATTCGTTAGTGCTGTGTTTGTGCCGGTTTGTGCCGTTGAAAGTAGCGTTTGTGCTGCTTTCGTTCCCGAGATACAGAGCCTTGTTTTATCGGTGTCGTGACGTCACTCAGTCCCCCTACAAAGTTGTAGGGGAACCGGACCGGTTCTTCTTTATATATATATCATTTTTGAAGTACAAAGCAGAAGGTGTTTTCCTACCTTAAATATACGATTAAAATTGTTTAAAAAAAAACATGAATTCATTACAGAAAGCAGAGGAGACAGTTATTTTGCAAATAAAACATGTATTTATTTCGAAGAGTACGAGGCATTGTGAATCAATAAAGACGTTTAAAAAATAAGCCGATGTAGTTATTTTGTAAATAAGTAAAGCATTTTAAAATCAGATTCTCATTGACAGTAAACAAGCCGATCCACCTGGCGCTGCTCGCTTGAACAGCTCTCAGACCCGTGATTGGCTAAACCCC